GCGGATGCAGGCGAGCATGGGCATATTCACACCCGTGGCCGCTAACGTGCAAGGGTTTTATACAATGCGTATGGCATGCATGTGGAATTAGGAGAAACTCTAATGTCAATCTCAGAATGCATTTATGCGAATTTCAAACATGGATCTTGAGGCCATACCTTCGAGAGGAGTATCCACGGAAAAACCAGCGCAGAACATATTTATGGTGATGGTACGAGTGATGCTGGGGTCTCCCGTGAAATGAACGGTGTCCATAACACATTTAGGATTGGATATCACTGGTAGTTGAATCTCCGTCAGGACAGCTGTGACGTTATCCAAACTGTCATAACCCCAACCGGCCACCTGCATCATCAAACAATCGAAGAAGAGAGGTTGCAATGTGAACATTGAAAGTAGTTTTAGGTCGAGGTATTAACACATTGAGGACGGATCACATGTTTAATCGTTTATTGCGTATGACCGATAACTATAATAGCATGTATTCATCCGGTCCTCAATGTGCTAAGATGTTTCGTGTTTCTTACCCATCCATTCCCTCCGCTGTCGAGGTTGACCTCAGATAAACCAAATCGGATAGGGAGACATACCAACTGAACTCGCGCAGTCAGCACGGCAGGTTTCGCTAATTTCAATAGGGCTATGTCCGAGTCATAGTCATTATGTACGTTGAAGTCCTTGTGCAAGATTATATGAGATACCTGCAAGGAGATCGTGTCAGTTTTCGTCACGAGGAATAGAATCGATATGAGTACGAGAACGTAAGGATCACTGAACCTGTCGGATCTGCAGGTACTCGTCCCTGACATTGAGTCGATGGTGTTTCCCTAGGTGGACCGAAATTTCATGTTTGTTTCGACTACTGAGGGAACCGAATACAACGACACAATGGGCCGCTGTCAACACCCATCGTTCGTCAATGAGAGCCCCTCCACAAATGACATCTTTCTTCGTGAGGTCATAAATGGCCGCCTGCCATGGCCATTCTCCGATTTCAGATGGGTTTCCTCCTGCTGATAGTTGAATTTGACTTTCCTTCTTCCCGCATACTGCGTATAGAATGGTACAAATCACAGGCATTCAGAAATAGCAAAGTTATGTCAGGTAAACAGGGAATATGGTTGTAAAAGTATCCGACCTGGCTTACAAAACGGGGTGGGTCCGGCCCATTCTCCACTTTCCTCACATCTTCTAAATTCCGGTCCCTGCAGTTCATAATATTTATCGCATCTGTATCTAACAATGCTCCAAACTGCATAGTTTCCATTTTGAATGCAATTTGCATTGTTTCTTTCGGCAGTCTCTTCCGATGGACTGGCACAAGATTCGATAGTAAAGGATCCATGTTTAATGCTGCTGAGTGGTCTGCATCCGATCACTCCGCCTGTTGATGGAAAACGATACCAGAGTTGCTATGACCGTAACTACAATGAATGCATCTAGTGAATTCGACTCATAAAACATGTGTGATTTTGCCTGGTGTTCCGATTAGTTGTATTTGCATGGTTTTCCTTCATTGTGTGCTGTGAGTTTCACTGGGAGTTGAAGGACTCATGGACGTTTGACCATTCAACGTTTTAGTTGGTTGTTTTTCCCTCTCTAAAATTGGTATATTTGAATATAATTTGAATTTTCTCTTTTATTCATGGCAAAACCTATGAATAAATTTCAATAAGCGGCTGTATTATGCATGAAGTGAATGCAATTCATGTGTACCTCAAAGTTTGAGGACTGAAAATGTAACTCTTCCTTGCCATGAAGAGTTTTGTTGCGACATCGATAGCTCGGAGGAAAATGGGCATGTTAACGAATATTAAAGGCAAAATCCAAATTTTGATGAATAGGAAGACACAATTCCAAATTTCCGAACGAGCGTGCATGGCGAAATAATTTCCAACTCTAGCGAAATCCGAGTACCTAGACTAAGGTGCGAAAGCCTTTGCTCCCAGTTTTTCAAGCATTTCTCAGGGCGAATGGTATGAATAGGAAAACCAATTTCAGCAAAGATAAGGCATTGGACAAGATAAAAAAAAAGTACCACAATCAATAGCTGACCCTCTCCCCCTGCGAGTTATTCAAAGCCAAACTCGCGCTTTCATTTATTTCAACAAAATATTTAGATTCGCCAAGTCAATTCCGTCCCATTCTTCGTGCAGAAATATGCCCAGTTCATCAATATTTGATTGTTTCCGCTTCTCGACACCCTATTTGAGGGATGACCAGAGGTTCTCAATTGAATTGAAATCAGGACTGTTCGGCAACCGTTCGGTCGTTTCGGGTACTTCTTCGAGTAAGAAATTTGCCATTCGACTTCTATGTTTGGGATCGTTGTCTTGCTGCAGTCACCAGCGTCGACCTAACTGCCTGCTGGCGCCACGGATGAGGCGATCTCGAAGGAAGAACGGAGAAAGGCCCATTCATAATTCTCTCTCGCGGATGACAGCCGACTAGCCCCATGGCAATCAAGCCATTATCTTATTTTTTTCCCTTCGAGACTCGTTCGACCTCGCCTCTTGGATTCTTTGACCATCGACGAATCGAATTTCTGTATAATCGGTAGGCGGTCTCGTCGGTGAATACTGTTCGGCTCCAATCGTCGCTCTTATACTGAATTACCCACTGGACATCTTAATGCTTCTGTGGCCACCTTGACATCGCATGTGGCAAGTTATTCTAGTAGCCCATCCACTTGTGCTGGCATTATACCGTTCAGGAGGACAGGTGCTAACCTATCTTGAAGAAACGTTTGCTCTAGTTTCTTCTCCGTTGTCTCATGGTTTCATCGAATCCACTGGCAATGTGCTTTGTCGTCGGCGGCGCGATCTAGCAGGTTCGGCCACTACGTTGTCTGCTCCGCACCGATGGCCGTTGTTCTAGAAGTGAGAAATAATTTGTAGCTCCATTTTCGGTGAAGTAGGATTTTGTTGTCGGGGCATTTTCTCCCAAATGCATGCTTCACATGTTTTAGTTGTAATTGAAGCGAATATTAAAGATATTCGCCGCCCGACCATATTCCTAACGGCTAACAATTCTTTGATTTCTACTGTCCGGGGTTAATAATGATAAGGAATAAGGAGTTCCAAGAAACGCTATTTTTTCGTTCTTTTCGAAGCCAGCAAGATTGAGGGAAGAGGAGACACTCTCCCTTATCTCAGAAACGTGCAGCTGCCTTAATACTTTGCAGTTCTATTATTTTTTTCGCAGACCAAACCCAACGCTCTCGAAGGCGCTTCCCTGGATAAACTGGTCTTATGTAAACAATAACAGCGCGGTTTCAATAAAGGACGTGAGTAACGATGTTAAATAAACGTAGCGTCGCATCCTACAGATGATATAGGACCTGAGAGATCGCGTGTAAGTTTTTTCATCCTGGTGATGAGATAGGACCAAATTGCAGTTTTATTAATTTCATCCCTGGGATGAGGTTGGACCACAAAGGATTAACTCTTAACACTCAAAAAATGCCACAAAAAATGCCAAAAAAACCCGAACAGTCCATTTCAACCCGAGCTTTGCACGAAAAAAAAGTCGGGAAACCTTATAGGCACCATACAGTGAAAGAATGAAAGCAACAGGAGACGTCACCTTGATTTGTGAGTGTTGGCAAGCCCGATTGACGATAACAGTCTTTCATTACAAATTTATCTAAATCCTTGAATTTGGTTTCATTTTGACACTCCCCAGAAATGCTCTTCAGAAATTTCGGATTCAGAACCAGCCATGCTACGTCACAATCGCATCGGATAGGATTGCCTGGAATAGAAACAGGAGGCAAAATGCAATTACGCAGATGAACAAAGCGAGGAAGAAACCCAACATAATCTGCAATGGTAAGAAACCGTGAAACTCACCGTTTAGATAGAGGACTCCATTTCCTGTAGAGAGGATGTCCAACATCGGGCGGAAGCTCTCCTCAGACAAAATGACAATTTCGTTGTTGGTCAGTTGAACCTTGGTATTCGGTCCAAGACCTGGTATGCAAATAAAAAACGTCATGCGATGAACTAATTAGAACCCTCAAAAGCTCCTTTCGAGCATTCCACGGACTTGATAGTTTGCAGTCGTGAATCTCGTGACCTCGTGAATGATTATATCACCAGGATTTCATCATGAGATATTCGGCTGACTTCATGAGAAAATCTTAAGCTTTTGTGAGTATAAGCTCATGGTGATTACAACACGAGGATTACTTAGTAAGAAACTAGATTTTAAAAAGTTTGGGCATTTGGAATGACTTTTGAGAAGTGAAAAAAAATTCATAATGACGATAATGACGGAAAAATGTGCGTAGATTCACAACTTAGAAATGAATCATGAAAACAATTCAATTTGAATTAGTTGACTCACATTAGCTTTTCCTACTGTGAATTGACGACTTCGCGAGTGTACATCATGAACTCGTAAAAAATATTCTTCGCTTTTGCAAAGTTAATCATGAT